AAAATGTTTTAGAATTCATCAAAGAATGATCTTAATTTATTTCAGATTTTTTAAGGACGATTTTCGAAATTTCGATTTTTTGACTTTTTGAAAAATCCAAAATCGTACCGGATCAATCTGAAAAAAATTGAGTATATTCTTTGACTAAATCTAAAACATTTTTATTCTTAGGAAATTTTTATGAAAGTCTATAGTTTTCGAGAAAAGAATCTGTGAAATTTAAAACAAAAATTTGGCGTTCGGACGCTATTTTGAATTGGATAACACTATATATCGAAATGTTTCGCTGCATATTTTTGAAGTGCAAGTATCGGGAACACCTTATATCTGTATTAGAAGTTGCCTAGACATTCGGAACATTGCTGAAATTAGGTTTGAAAAAAAAATCCGAGTCCAAAAAGTGCATTTTTTTTATATTTGTTGAAAAATAATAGGTTAAACGTTATTTTTCGGAATTTTCGACACCGCTAATCGAAAGAGCGACCTCAAAAACATAAGTATATGTGCCTTAAGTTCAAAGTCCCTCGTTTATTTTAAAATGATGCGCGGTCAAAGTCAACGTTAAAATTTTGTGCGTTTGGGACTTAATGGGTTAAAAAACTGTGGTCAGAATACATAGACCTGGCGGTACTACGTATTTGATCTATTTCGGAGGAGGCAGTTCGTACAATTATAATCGAGTGTCACTTACAGGTAAGTTCACTCGATCGTTCATTTATAGATTAAAAATTCAATTGAAACGTAGAAGCAACGCTAAAAACGACATAGGTAGAGCTAAGCCTTCTTCGACTTTTATTTGTCTTACCGCATTTCACACTTCCTTGCAGATATCGTCAATCTCACTTTCCTTTGGTACTGCGACTGATTTAGTTCTTTTTGTGCTTTGTCTAGGTGCTTTCAGCATAATTTGATTCATGACATCGAATAAAATTTCTTCATCAGCTATAACACGTGATTATATTTTGCTTATTTCACATAATGCTTACAAGTATTTTACTAAAAAACTCACTTGAAAAATCAAGAATAACACCATGATATTCCTTTGCATTTGAAGAATCCTCTGGCCACATAAATTTCACTTCCGAATCTTTTTTTAAACTCTTTTCATTGATTGCCAAAAATAATCGATCATTCGAACACGATGCACATTGAAGTGTCCTCACACTTGATTGAATATTGCATTTTATCCATGATTAAAAATGCTACAGCTCTTTGTAAAACTTTTTCGTACTAACTAAACTTTTTTATAGTTTTATTTGTTAGGTTTAATGTTTGATAGTTTTATAAGCAAACAAATGCAAAATAACTGGAAGTTATTACGTGAAGTGAACTTACTTAAATTTCAGAAATATATACTAAATTCACGACCAACAATTTTTTAGAATTCTGCTTAAAATGACATTTTTTTAAAAGATTTTCATTAAATATGAAAATACTTTTATAGTTTTCTTAAAAAAGTCATCTTCTCGGGTTGTTGTTTAACATTCCTCTTATTTCCTCTCTTAGGTAAATCTTGGGCAGCCTATCATCCTTCATTTCCACGACTTCTACAATGTATTTCGTTGTCCTTTTTATTGTTTGTATATCCAATCTTTCGATTCCTGCTTCCATTTTCCAAATGTATTCTGGCGTGTTTTTATTTAGGCCCATCGCCATTTTTACAATTTTTGCCTGCATTTTTTCCATTTCTTGGAGATATCATATAAATCTTGACAATATGCTACATACTTATCATCCATTGAATAAGTTACAACACCGATTAATGTATAGTTATTTACGTGGAATGGCAGCTTCAAATTCAAGTGCTACATTTATACAATCAATGATTTTACTTTGTTCAATGTCAATAAATAAGTAAGATTCCCAGAAGTAAGTAAAATTAATGTCACCTGAACACAACTTACACTTTTGTTGTGACGAAAGGTAACATTTTTGAAAATAATAATCTTGCAGCAATTTATCAAAATGTTTTAAACTGTTTCCTGGCTTAACGTCAAGTTGAATAACCCATTCACGAACACTAGGTAAGTAAGGCGATTTACATGAGCAAGAAAACATTACCGTAAATGATTGGTGATTTTTCATGCAATTTTTTGAAAAAATCGGCAAATGTATCATCGACATGAATGGTTGCTTTTTCATTATTAACCATGCCATATTTAAACATTTTTCATCTTCTAGACGCAAAGATCGGTATTTTGTGAAATTTTTTAATGCAAAAGCAAAAATTTCCGCTATTACATCGAATTTCGAAGAATTCAAGATTGAAAATTGATTTTCTTCTAAACATTTTGTACGTAGCATATTAGCGTTACGAATTAATGGATATTTATTTTTGCTGGGAATCAATTGCTAGTATTTGAGCTTCATATATCTGGACAGGGAGCAAGATACTTTTTAGGTTTGTCGGACTAATATAATAAAATAACTCTCTTATAGAATAATAGTTCATATCTTTTAAATCTAAACAGTCTCGATCCAATACTAAATCGTTAGCCGGTATCGTTATCTCAATAGCATATAGAGTTTCCGATTCACCTGAAACATTTTTGTTTATGTCAGACACGTTATAATCCTCTTCTGCGTTGAACGCTTTATCTACAAAAGATGACGGCAACTATCATTTTAAGATTCACTATGCGTCGAACCAGTTTTTTCAATCTTACAAGTATGCTTTAATGCATAATCGTGGTCAGATAGACAAGCTATCAACGAATGATCAATAGTAGAACTATTTTACACCGAAGAGGTTGCAATAGGATTGAATTCATTATCCGAATGAACAATGTCAATTTTCTCAAAATTAAACTCTGAAATTACACCAATGTCGTGAACATCATCACTATGAAGTTCATTGATCTGTGTGTTGTTGTCTAAGTTAGCAATAACGTCTGCGTGTACACATGAGATTGGTTTCGAATTCTGCTCATCAATTTTCGTTAACTTTGTGACATCAAACTCCGACGCAATAGACACATCAAACTCCGACGCAACGGATACATCGGATCAACGGATACGGACGCAAAACACATGAGCGCATGCTAAACTGCGAGGTGATTTCATACGTCTTAGACAGATTGGACATTTTTTACACAAATTCTGTAATAAATTTATTCGTCATCGACGACGGAATCATCCTCAAATAGCTCCTCGAGGTATTATATCTCTTCAGAATAACTTGCCTGATCATTATTTAGATCCTGAGTCAAGTTAGATACCTGACCCGAGCCATATGGACTTGCTACTGCAGCTACATCTTCATTTTCCTATTGCTCACCCTCTTGCACTACTTCGTCTCCTTCAACGAATTCTATATTTTAAGTTCTGAGTGTAGATGACAAAGCATCATTGACCGTACCATGAATTTGCGCCTTTAATTCTTGAGAAATCATTGCTGATAAGGTTTGAACGTGAACTGTGAAAACAGTGTCCAATGCATCTGGAAGCTCAGTTGTGATGTTGGCAACTGCTTCTCTGATAATAATCGGTAAATTGTCTACTAGAATCTTATTCTGGTTTTCCAAGGCTTATTGAATAGCTTGAGTCTGTTGCTGTAAAGCTGTATTGACACGCTCCAGCAACGAAATTACCAACTCTGCTCCCTTTTGTTCCAAAGCTTTCACAAATTTATTGATTTTTCGGCTGAAATATTATGCATAAAAAATGTATTATTATAAATGGAAATTATTTTATTAGTAATGCAGAAACAGTAGATAAACAATAAAATATTACCAGCAATCGTACATTTAGTTGATAAAGGATTTGGACCTGGTCTAGTTGTTGAATGTGGTGTAGTCACTGGTGGAGCAGAAGCACTGGGAGGCATTGGAATGTTTGGTTTCTTGACAACTGGTGGTTCACAGTTATCTGCAGGCGAGCTTTCATCGTAAAAACATTTTACTCTACACGCTGAAGTTTCAGTGTAAGCATCTGAATCTACTGGTCCAAGACCGACAATGTCAACAACACGAATATGATTATTGCAAGGAGATTTATCTCGGTGGTCAAGAATATTTCGTTAACTTTGTGACATCAAACTCCGACGCAACGGATACTTCAGCTGCGTCACTTTACTTTTTAGACTTAGTAAAAGGATCAGCAGGTTTTTTATAAATGATTTTTTCCTTTCCAGTTGTCTTCATATAATTTTAAACATTTGGCGAAGTGCAAAGTAGTGGTTTTATTTTTATCTGTTTTCCGATTATAACTAGCTCTGCCAATGTTTACTGAGTCGTTTGACTGCAGTACATGATCTATTAGAAAATCAGGCAGTGAGGTAACGTGTTTCTTTGTATTGACAATTTCAAGATGATTTGCTGAAATATTAGTAACTATGTCAACTTTCATATCATCATTTATCAATAAACTACTCCATGCCGGAAATGAATTCAGTAAATAAACAAATTCATAATCGTACCATTCCACAGAGTAATACGGGTTAGGTACCTTACGTAAATGTAGAAATGATGTTTTTTAAAACTTGCTCTTTAAATGTCTGAATATAATCTAGTGTAGGTACTTCTTTTTGAATTGTGACTGGTTCGCTGGAGAATCCATCAATATTTGCGCACATGAAGAATTTATTAGAAAGGGCACAGACTTCCTATTTATTTATTATCTTTTCTTCTAATAGCTTGATTGTTTCATTAAGTTTGTTTTCTTGCGACGGATAAATATCAAAATAAAAATTGACTCAAGCGTGTCTTGATAGTCATCCCAATCTGAGATAATACTTAAATAAATTATACACTTTGTATACAGGCATCCCTCGTTATACGCGGTTTCGTTATACGCGGATTACCCTTATACGCGGATTGCGATTTGTGACCGTCCCGCGTTTTACGCGGTAACAGTCAGCCTTATACGCGGTTTACTCGACGCAATGTTCAGTTCAATTTTTTTGTTTTTGTTTATAAATTTTCATAACCTTTAACATTGTACATTTCTATTTGGTTCACACTACTTTCTTATAACGTCAATAGTATTTCCAAATTTAAATCATGGCACCACCACGCACTCTAATGAAAACTCCAAGAAAAACGCCTTTAAAGAAAAATCGAAAAGTAATGAGTTTGGCAGATAAATTAAAAATTTTAAATTCACTTCGAGACGGAGATAAAGTTGCTGCAATTGCTAGACGTTTCGAAGTAAATGAATCAACCATTCGCACGATTCGGGATAGCGAAGCGAAAATTCGTGAAAGTGCACAAATTTTGGGCCAGCATGCTCAGGCAGCAAAAGTTGTTCATCATAATTTCATTGAAAAAGCAGAAGAGATGCTTATGATTTGGATTCAAGATCTTATACACAAAAAAATTCCTCTTAGTACAGCGGCAATTAGAGATCAAGCTATCGTTTTTCACACTCACCTGTGTGAAAAATACAATAAAACTGAGAAGTTCAACGCGAGTAAAGGATGGTTTGAAAGGTTTAAAGCCAGATTCATGCTGCATAATGTCAAATTCTCAGGTATAGAATGTAAAAATAAAATATAAATAAAAAATAAAAACTTAACTTGAAAATAAGAATGAAAATCAAAATATTTAGGTGAAAGTTCTAATGCGGATCATGAAGCTGCTCGTGTATTCCCAGCACAAGTTCGAGAAGTTATTGCTGAAAAACATTTTGTTCTCGATCAAATTTTTAATTGTGATGAGACTGGACTTTTTTGGAAAAGAATGCCATCTCGAACATGGTTAACGAAAGAAGAATTGAGAGCGCCAGGTTTCAAAGTAGCGAAAGATAGGTTTACTCTCTTATTCTGTGTTAACGCCACTGGAAATTTAAAATGCAAACCTATGCTCGTGTATCGTTCAGAAAATCTAGAGCATTAAAAGGAAAAAATAAAGAACAGCTACCCGTCCATTGGACTTCGAACAAAACTGCATAGGTAACAAGAAATAATTTTGAGATTTGGTTTTTGCATTCATTTATTCCAGAAGTGAAAGAATTCTTAGCCAAAAAAAATCTCGCTTTCAAAGTTTTGTTACTGCTTGATAATTGCAAGAGCCATGATGGATGTTTGCAAACAGCTCATCCTGATGTCGAAGTGATGTTCCTTCCTCCCAACACAACGTCATTGATTCAACCGCTAGATCAGACTGTCATAGCAACTTTCAAGTCTTATTATTTAAGACGTGTTATAAAATCATTAGTCCAAAAAGTCAATCTTCACCGGACTTGCGACAATTTTGTTCCCGACAATGTTGTCAGACAATATTGGAAAATGTTTTCAATCATGGATGCAATCAACTTCGTTGAAGAGGCCTGGACTGAAGTTAAATTGACCACTGTAAACCAAAGCTGGAAAAAGCTGTTACCGGAAGTAGTTGCAGCAAGTGACGCCGAGCAGCAATCAAATTATCAAGACACGGTGCGAGAGGTCATAGCCTTGGCTCGAGAAGTCGAAGGTGAAGGGTTCCAAGACCTTGAGGAATCGGAGGTTCTAGATCTTGTGGAAGAAAGAACTGACTTGACACCTGAAGAAATCGAAGTACTTTCGAACAATCCGCCTGAAGAAGAAACTGAAGAAGGCCTTACACGAACGACGTCCGAAACCATTTTCGATGCTAAAGCTGTTGTGGAAATTATCAATCTTATTAACATGGCATCCGAACAAGCTGTGCAAAAAGATCCGATAATGGTTAGAAGTTTAAATTTCAAACGACAATGCGATTTAGCTATATTGATTTACGATGAATTATATAGAGACATTTTGAGAAGAGCTAAGCAAGCAAAATTGACTTATTATTTTCAAAATAAATAGTACTGAATCATATATTTTGATTTCTTTGGAACGTAACTCCTAATTTCCCATAAGCGTAAGGTCTCATTATACGCGGTTTCGTTATACGCGGTACTTTTTCGGAACGTAACTACCGCGTATAACGAGGGATGCCTGTAATACGTTTTAATGGTCGTTTGCTTATATTGCAAATACTGCGAATTTCTTACAACTGTCAGTATGCTCAGCAAGTCAATAACAATACTGACAGGTATCAATACAGGTAGTTCTAGCGCTTTTTCTTCATAATTCTCATTTTTTTCTACATTTTTAAGAATAACATAATACATGTAAAATAATATTTTGATAAAACAAGAGTGTTATAATAACTGAAAGAGCATTTATTTAAAGATTTGCACATTTCTTCGATAACTGTGAGAGTGAGAGAGAGAGAGAGAGAGAGAGAGAGAGAGAGAGAAGACCTTGGATGCTGGATCGGGAGTCCTGGCTGCGCCCTGCGCACGGTGTTACAGGTCGTCGCTGGGCAACTCTTGCTGGCTTCCTCTCGGCCCTCTGTCCTCGGCTGAACTCCTATCACCGCTGGCCGTCCACCGTCTAACTCCGGTCAACTCCGAAAACCTTCTAAGTCTCTACTTGACTTACTAACGTCTGTGTCGCTCGTTTTTCCTTGCGATCTACAGCTTCTTCCGTCGTTCTTTTCTCTCCCCACTTGACCTACTTATTAGGCGGTGCGCGACCAATGCACTAATTGGTCCTAAACGCGCGCCTGCCTAATCTTGCGTAGGGCACGCACGCCCCCGACTATTTTTCTCTCTCTAACATCTCTATACTCTCTCTGTCGCCAGCGTAGCCGCTTTGGGCCTGCTCGGCCCCGCTCGGCAATCTCCGTCAGCTGAAACAGAGACCATGCATTAGACGCATTCTTAAATGCGCCTAACGCTGGTCACCGTGTCTTACCGAGAGAGAGAGGGAAACTTGGGAAAATTCCGACGAGAACAAGCGCAGCGCTTGCTCTCGTCACAATTGAAATGTTGTAACCAACACATAGTTTCAATGGTAAAGGTATACCTTCATTGTCAATAAAATCTTCTAAAAAATGGGCTATCTTGTAAGTATCAATATTTTCTGAGTAAAGATGAGCAAAGTATACTGGACGATCTTGCAACATAAAGGTGATTGAGATTATGCTATTTTTCTTGCTCACATAGTATCGAAGTTTAATTGCAGGCACTACATTTTCCAAATTCGTTACAGCAATACAATTATTTCTTTGTACCATATCACGATAGAAAGTCAATTGCGACAAAGACCACAATATAACACTAAAAGGCATTATAGATACTGAGCGAATTAAATTTGCATAATCTACGTGGATTTTCAATTCCATCAAGGTATCGTACTCGTCAGGATATTAAATAATTGATTATGCGGTTGCGACGCTTCTCGTTGCAACGCTGCACTCTTGATGCCCCGGACGTAAAACAATAGACGGTTAGTAGAACTAAGGTGCAGGTTTAAGGGCTTTGATGCGTTATAAATGTGTGAATGTTGTCCCTTCCTTGTGCTTCCCTCCTTTATTCCTATGTGACCCAGGACGTCTGGCGGTGGTGCAGGGAGAGAGATCGAGGTCGTCGTCCGCCGATGATCTTTGGGGTATCGTTGGACTTGGGCGGGGGTGTGACGGGTGAGGCAATCGTTGAAATTGCTCGCCCTGTTTGCCTCTTTCCCTTTTCCGAGTGCTCCCTTCGCCTCTGCCACATCGATATCTTGGTAATTCGGACCAAGTATCGACGCTCGATGTAACTTTGTTTCAGGTTTAGTTCCTGATCGGCGTGGTTGGAGCCGTGTGAGGAAAGGAGAGAGAGAGATAGAGAGGGAGAGAGAAGTAGTGTCGCCGCCGTGACTTGCATGTATGTGCGTAGCCGGCGGCGCTCGGCCGATGTTGGATTCTGAGGGAAGGGGCGGAAATGCCGCGAGGAATAGGAGAGGACGAGCAGTACTGGCCAGGCCAGCGTCGTGAACGATAGCTGACAAAGTGAGAAATGAGAGATTAATCAATAGCACACAATCGGCCCTTCCTTTGGTGACGGAAAGCAGCGAGGACTGCGAGAGGCAACCAGCCCTTCCTGGACTCTCCTAGGAGCTCGAGAGGACGTGCAGTCACAGCCAGAGGAAAATTAACTGAATCAGAACCAAAACAACTAAAAATTAAATTAAGTATTCTATTTTACGTGAAATATATGTAAAAATAATGTAAATAAGGACACCTAAGTTAAAAAAAATGTTAATATAGTATTTTGATGATATATTTATTATGTTATTACACACCAAGAAATTTTAAATAAATTCTACGAGTGTCTATATCTATTGGTACAGAATAAAGGAAATACTTCTGTTAATAACACAATTATATGCTTAACTAAAGGTTTCCCTGATTTTTCGATTGAAATATTGACTTTGATTGACCACGATTGAGATCTTAATTAGCATTCACATTTTCATGAAAATCTACAAAAATTATTTATACATAAACAATTATTTATCAGTATCAGAAGCGATCACTGTTTTGTTTAGTTTCTCGTTACCGAGCAAAAGAAAAAATGTTTCCCAGTGATATTAACATGTAGCAAAAGAAAATATTATTGTTGCTATACTTTTTTAAAATATTTTTCAGATAACGAGAAAGAGAATGTGGAATCGATGAATCTGTACTCGTGTTTTGTGCTTTGATAGGGTGCTATGTTTAATTAATAAGTAGTTGCTTATCAGAAATCCAAAATCGACCAATCATCCCGCATAAATTTCGTAAATCGCGCATGCGTACTGCTTACCACTACAGCATTGTTAAGGAAAGAATCGATTTTATCGACTATTTGACAAATTATAATGGCTTATTGAAAGAAGACTGTTATTTAATTGAAAAAAAACGAATGGACAGGTCGGGGGATCGAACCCGTGTCCTCTGGATCCGCAGGCCAATGCTTACAAGTGGCCACTGCTACAAGTACAAGGATAATTTGTGAAATATATACGTTCTATGTCATTAAGTCGTCGCAAGGCGGCGCAAGCATCACGCAGCAGGAATAGATGGCCACTATTCATATATACAACCAAAGAACAATCCGAAATAGCTCTGCTTTACCATAACTTCCCACAAAAGGGAATTCGGACCAGCTGAGCGAAGTAATACGGCGATTTGCTTATCACTTTTTCGACGAGACTGTGTGTGGAATTTTATCGACAGTCTGCCTTCTTGGGTGTGACAAGTACGTATTCACTGGTCGTCTAGCTTCCACTCTAGACTTGCGAGCCGTTGTATTAGTTCCTCCCTCCCTCACTCGAAAGGAGCTCCGTTGACTTGGCGATAAAATATAGAAACATAAAAAAATATAAATCAGCCTCAAGATCTTTCAATGCTCTTCCCAAATATCAGTGCCAAAAATTTTCTATTCTTACCTTTTATGAGTAAATAAATAAAATAGCGTTCTCTACGAGCACTAAAAAATAATTTAATAATTTGTTTTTATTGCGAATATTGAAGATAAACAGGTTCTGCAAACGGCAATAAATGCCCTTAATTTGATGCTCTTAATTTTCTCTTTCAATTAGTATCATTAATTTTTAATTATCTATAACCGATGTCCTAAAAATAATTCCCCAAAATGTTCATTAGTACATTTAAATTAGTATAGGTTGAGGTTCGTTCGCATGCGCAAACTAGCGGTAGGGCGCGCGCGCGCGCGCGCGTGTGCGTGCGTGCGTGCGTGCGTGCGTGCGTGCGTGCGTGCGTGCGTGCGTGCGTGCGTGCGTGCGTGCGTGCGTGCGTGCGTGCGTGCGTGCGTGCGTGTGTGTGTGCGTGTGCGTGTGTATGTGTGCGTGTGTGTGTGTGTGTGTGTGTTTAGTTACGGAGAGGAATTCAAAATGACATTGTAGGGAGTACAAAACTAAATAGTACCTATATCAATTTTCCATCAAAAATGGAAAAATTACGCTTCCAGGTAGGGGTTATACATTTTTCTTGTGTATAATACAACTGCAACTTTCAATAATGGACATAATAAAATGTTTCTTTTAGCCTACATCAAAATTCTTATTGTTCTCATTGCCATTGATCAACTTACTGGCTCAAAAGCTCTTCTGTGCAGTGATGCACATGGATTTAATTTAGATGAATTTGAGTCAAATACTCAAGTATTAAACCGTGGCTGTATGTTGTCAGTTGCTCAGAACAAAGAAAATTGATCCAAGTCAAATCACTTTACTTAATATTGACAACTGCCGTAATCTAGATTACAAGTAGCGAACTTAGGTGCAGTTTAGAGACTTTCAGATCCTGGGCTAACGATACAAAAATAATTTATTTTGCTGTGCCTCTTTATAGTTTGACGAAGGAGCCTGTACAATTGAGCTTTGCTTATAAAATTGAAAGTAGGAAAGATGTAGAAGATTATCTGTAGGAATGCACAAGTGTTTTTATCAGATCATTGCTATTATTCAACAGAGATTTATAGTGAAGAATTTTCAAAAGAAATTAAAAAGATTGCAGATTCAAGGGAGAAGTCTCTGGAATTGATTCAAGGATTCTTATACAGGGTGATTCAGAAGGATTATAGTACCCGAAAATGGGCTATAGAAAAAAATTTTCTGAATCGATTGTCGTTTTCAAAAAATTTTTATCATCAATTCTTTCCGAGAAAATTAATTTTAAAAATTAATAATTTCGACCAATCAGAGCACCGTTTTGATCGACGACCAAATATCTCCTCTTTTATTGTTTTCCCCTCCACTTGGCCATAGCAACCGAAGCAGTGATTGAGACGACACGGTAACTAATATTGCAAAATATCATTGGTTGCTTAACAACGCATCGAAGAAAGAACCACCTTGTAAAGACGCCATTTTCTTAGAATAAACCGTCTAACAATGTCTTATAATTTATTTTTTTTATAACTTTATAATAAACATATAAATTTAGGGTAATTTTTCTAATCAATAGAAAAGTGACTCTTTTAGTTATTTTT